GCTGAGAAGCTGCTGGTGGGATTCCCGACCTATGGAAAGAGCTTCACCCTGCAGAACCCGTCTGACACCTCTGTTGGAGCTCCCGCATCCGGTCCCGGCCCCGCTGGACCCTACACCAGGGAGGCTGGAACTCTGGCTTACTACGAGGTGYGTGTGATCCCATCCCATATTCCTGTCTCAATAAGTTGAAGGGATTTTTCAGGAAGTTCCCACGGAGTTTTTTACCTGCCTATCCATGGAATGGGTGGGAAAGAGTTCCTCATACTCAGGGACCGGAGAAACGGCACAAAACTGGAGATAAAACCAAGAGAACAGCCGAGCCTGGGCTTTTTCCTTTTCCTGGATAATATTCCCACTTCCTTCTCCCTTTTCCTGGATAATGTTCCCACTTCTTTTCCCTTTTTGAGGATAACATTCCTTCTTCCTTCTCCCTTTTTGTGGATAACTTTCCTTCTTCCTTCTCCCTTTACATCAATAACATTCCTGCTTTCTTTTCCCTTTTCATCAATAACATTCCCTCTTCTTTTTCCCTTTTCCCGGATAACATTCCTTCTTCCTTCTCCCTTTTCATGGATAACATTCCTTCTTCCTTCTCCCTTTTCGTGGATAACATTCCCCCTTCCTTTTCCCTTTTCCTGGATAACATTCCCATTTCCTTCTCCCCAGATCTGCTCTCTGCTGAGCTCCGGAGCCACCCAGGCTTGGGATGAGCCCCAGGACGTTCCCTACGCCTACAAGGGCAACGAATGGGTTGGCTACGACAACGAGAAGAGTTTCAGCATCAAGGTCTGGGGCCAGCAGGGCCAGGACGGGATGGGGCTGGATCCTTGGGATCAACTCCTTGGGCTCACTGGGATTTCTCCTGGGAAATCTCACTGGGATTTCTCCAATCTCCCACAGGTTGATTGGCTGAAGAAGAACAACTTTGGAGGTGCCATGGTCTGGGCCCTGGACATGGATGACTTCACYGGGGAGTTCTGCAAGGAAGGCAAATACCCCCTGATCAACACGCTGAAGAAAGGCCTGGGGCTGCAGAACGGTGGTGAGTGGATCCAGGAGAGAGGGGGAAGCTTCTGGGAGGAGAATTCCGAGCTCCCTATGAGGGATGGGAGGGATGAGACACTGGGAACATGAAAATTTGCCTTTCCTG